TGGTCTCGCTCAGCGCTGTGGTTTCGAACTCCTGACCTTGAGCGATCCACCCACCTCGCCTCCCAGTGTGCTAGGATTACAGGCCTGAGCCACTGCGCCTGCCATCTCTGTATTTTTGATGCCTAATATTGTAGCTGTCAAACACTAGTGCAAAGAAAAAAAATCTGCTTCATCCTTTTACCTATATTCTCGCAGTTTTAAAGTGTTTTTTTTGACACAGAATCTTGCTCTGTCTCCAGTACAGTACAGTGGTGTCATATAGCTCACTGCAACGTCAGCTCTCTGGGTCAAGCGATCCTCCTGACTTAGCCTTCTGAGTAGCTGGGACTACAGCACATGCCACCACACCCAGAAGATTTTCTATTTTGTACAGAGCAAAAATTTGTGTAAGACCGTAAAGCCATTTTGTCTCCTAGGAAGTAAAGAATCAAGCCACTTAGTGCTCATTTATTTAAGTTGCTCTAAAAGAATTCTGGTTATTTAGCCAAAATGTTGTGACACTATTTCAGCATGATAGGAAAATTCTCTCTCTTGGCCATTATCAAATCTGCAGGTTTAGAGGGTTATATAGTTCTGCAGTGTTTAAGGCTGACGCCACGGCACTCACTCTAGCCTGGCAACAATGACGGGTCTCAAACTCCTAAGCACAAGCGATCCTCCCACCTCTACTCCCTGAGGCTAGGATTACAGCATGAGCCACCATCCCAGCCTAAAAGTTACATTTTTTTTGAGACAGAGCCTCACTCTGTTGCCCGAGCTTAGAGTGCCATGGCATCAGCCTAGCCACAGCAATCTCAAACTCCTGGCTCAGGTGATCCTCCTGCCTCAGCCTCCCGAGTAGCTGGACTACAGCCAGCACTACCATGCCAGCTAATTTTTTCTATATATTTTAGTTGGTCAATTATTTCTTTCATTTTTAGTAGAGATGGGTCTCACTCTTGCTCAGTCTGGTTCGAACTCCTAACCTTGAGCATCACCTCCTTGGTCTCCCAGAGAGACTAGGATTATTAGGCATAGCCACCTTGCCTGCGCTAAAGTACATTTTAAAGACTGATTACATGATCATTAT